CTTATTACATTTCCTTAAATGTAATAGAAGGAATGAATTTTTATTTTACTACAAACAAAAAAATACATTATTTTCAACTTCTTAGAAAACAAAAAGGGAATTATTTAGCCCAATTGTCTCATAAAAAATAAGAGAGCGCGATGAATTTTTATAACATTATTTTTATTCAAGTGTTTAAAAAAAAATAAATTAAAATTTCGGATATTCCAAATGAGGACATATATTATTTATTGATAATTTTAGCAAAAAGTTTTTCCAAAGTTTTATATATATACCCCATACCATTTCAATAATAGTAACTATAGCTTAATAGTATTAATAAAAAAAGAAAAAAAAAGAAAAAATACCTAATAAAAGTGCCTACTAAAAAAAAGATATAAAAATTTATTACATTATTCAGAAAAATAAGGAAAATGAGAAATTTCGATAACACGAGCAGCAATACTTGCCAGAGTGGATACTCTGCACAATTAGAGAGCAGTTTAGTTTCTTCATCTGGTGATGACGCAATGAATACTACGAAACGAAAGAGCAAATTCTTGAGTTTTACCAAAATTTGTACCTTTTCTCTTCTTATGACGATGTCCCAGTGTTACGAAAATGTAGGATCCTAAAATGAATAGGCACCAGGCGCCATATATATGTATATGTTGCATTTTGTTATGTTCTTTGCCTTTGTAAATATGTAGTTGTATCTTTCCAAGAGTTAATTTGTTGTTGTGTAAGCATCGCTTTTTTTTTTCTTTTTTTTCCCCTTCTCTGTAGGCCAACTCGAACAGTTCCCTTTGCACGTTCAGCGGCCATAACAATGGTGAAGGTTTAAGATCCCTCAGAATGTTAGCATCTGCTGAATCGAAAGAAGACCAGTTCGAAAGTGCAACCGTAGAAAATGAATACGAGGAGGATACTCAAGTGCAAAAGGAGAAGAAAAAATGTAAAGCATCATCTCCATCATCATCGCCACAAAGCGATGCAGTTGACAAGACGTGCCCAACTGAATGTGGAGCCTGCACATGTGGTTTTAAAACGTTAGATTTATATTTTGAAAAGAAATTATTCGATATCTTAGACGCGGGAAACAAAAAAGCTCAAGCGGTTGTGGATTCCGGCACTCACATTATGAATGGATTAAAGAACTATCTTAAATATGTCCTTCTTTTCTCACCACTTTTACTTGAATTTTTGGCAAGCAAACTTTTAGTATCCGGACATTATAAGACGTCTCAATTCATATCCAGCGTGTGTGTTACCTTTTACCTGTATGTGTTTTACAAAATTATGGAGCGTTACGCTTTGGAAAGAGACGCTTATCTAGATTATGAGTACTACTCTCCACGTAAAGGTGCCTCCCGCAGCGGATGTAGTGGCGGTAACTGTGAAGCCTCCTGCGGTAAGAATGCCTGCCCTGGTAGCAACTGCGAAAGATCCTGCAACAAGAAGAGTGATTCCTGCAGCAAAAAATAAGACTCAAGATGCAAGAATGGAAAATATAGCTCAAAAAATGAGTAAGAAGTAAATCTCTCCGGGTGGTTACGTTAGTGTTATGTAGAAGAAACATGCAAAGATGCATACATGCGCGTAGACATTTTCAGGCGAAAGAGCGAAGATGGCGTGTACACGCGCAATGGATTAACCTGTGTATTTATATATGTACCTATATATATATTATATATTTTTCGTATTTTGCGTTGTGCGTATTATATATTTTGCGTTTTATATATTTCCACAACGTTTGGTTTCCCGTTGTTATCTAAAGTTTCTAAGGCAATGTAATATTCTTCTACGAATTGTGTAGACATACTATGTATTTAATTCTATGCAAGTATTAATACTATAATAAATGTGTATTTTATTTATATCTTCTTTTGTTTTTTTATGAATTATATACATTTTTACACGATATATATATGTGTGATGGCTGAAATGTATATTCCTTAAAGAGCTAAGATTGTAACATGGATAATAATATAAGTATTCACCGTACATCGTATTATATTGAATTTCGATTGCTATATGTGTAAATGGAAATTATTTTTTGAATGATTAAGTTACATTTACATTTCACCATTTTATGCCACATACTGGAAAAGGCGAACTGCAAGGAAAAAAAGACGCTTAATTTAATTATGCCAAGTCATGATTTTCTTCCCCCATCTTGAGCAAAAAGGGGGAAATGAGAGGCGTGACAATACAGCACATGTTAAGAGGGGGGTAGGAGAAGCCAGTTTAGCTGTATTCATTTGAATACCACTCCGACTATTCGTGTGATGACTATGCGGGGAGTTGGTGTGGAAGATGCATAAATATATCAGAAATTGGTGGATGCTTTATATAGCTCCTTTACGTCTTAATTATTTTATTACATGCACCAAACCACGAATTAGCCGTTTTGAAGGAATTGGCTTTTCTTCTATTCTTCTGAGAAAAGGTATGTGCATATCGGAAAATATTTTATTATGTTTTATTTTAAGAACGAAAAGAGAGAGCACACGGGAAAGAACTTAGCAAAATTTGTTCAGCATTTTGGGAGATACGTTTCGCAGCTTATTCTTTGAAGTGATGCTTTCTTAATGAATAAACATATTTCATTTCTTATATTAAGTGTAACCTGCCGACTGCATCGCCCTCCTACAATTCTAGGATTTTTTTTTGCTGTGTTTGCAAATATGTATGTACTTGATGAATAGACGTTTAACTATACTTGGGGAGTTAAACAATTACGAGTGCTTTTGCATAATTCTTCGGATTTATAGAATAATTTGAAGAAAAGGAAGAACTGAGCAACAGGTGTATGTTTATTTTATATAGAGAGACAATTGCCCAACATAATTTGTAATTCAGGCCGGGTTTATGGGATATATAGGGGCAACGCAACTTTTCCGAAGAAGAGAATTATTCTTTTTACAGGGCGCATAACATTACTGTTGAAGAGATGGTTCGACATAATCATTACCATTTTGTAACTATATGTAAGCTAGAGAGCGTTGGTTATAATTACCCCATTTCAGCACAAATGATAACAATGTTGTAATCTGCAGTGCAATACGAAGGGGAGCAATATTTGTGAAAAATAATTTTAATTTGCAAAGGACAACTATCGGGGAATTTTTTTTTTGATACAGCGTATTTTTAAAGGAGATTGCAGAGTTGGGGATGGAGTGGCGTCATTGCTATATAAAAACGTAGCTTTGCTTTGACGCACTTTCACAAAATATGTATCTAGCTTTTTTTTATGTATTTTTTTTTTTTTTTTTTGTTTTTACGTTGTAACTTTTTTACGAATTTGTTCTGCTCCTGCATATATAGGATCAAAAATTCGAGAATAATTCCTATTACCATAAGAAAAATATATTTTTTTACTTTTAAAAATTATTGTCGTTAAATAATTTCTCCCATCTCAAGGTTCAAAATTCTGTTCTGTATAATTCTGTACGGGAGCACTATTATATGCAGAGTGAATTTTTCTATGTATATCTGTTCATCTAGGATGGAAAGGAAAAAAATAGGGAGTAAAGAATTTTCTCTTTTTTTAAGTCCCACGCGCCGCTGCTTGATATCCCTGGCGGTGATTATTTCTGTCGTGATATTGGTAAGATAAGAAGTATATTAAAATAGGACAAAATTTCACATCCGTTTTAAACTGTACATATAGAAAAAATAAAAATAGTAAATATTAATGACGTTTTTAATGTCTCAAAAATATGTTTTTTTAGGATACCTCTGTCTCAAATGGTACTGTTGGAGTGCCTCATCTGATCGGCGTCCAGTCAAGAAATTTAACTGAGCACCCGACCGACCAGAATGAATATATGACTAATGAGGACGAACACGAAGGGGCAGAAGAGTCGCTTGTCGAAATTACAGACGACATGTACGATAATCTACAACGGAGTGGTAACACAACAGAAGAAGAATCAACAGAGCTTCTTTTCCAAATTATAGACGACATGTACGATAAGCTACAACAAAATGGTAATACTGCAGAAGGAGAATCAACAGACCCTCTTTCCGAAATTACAAACAACCTGTACGATAAGCTACAACAAAATGGTAATACTGCAGAAGGAGAATCAACAGACCCTCTTTCCGAAATTACAAACAACCTGTACGA